TTTATTTGTAAAGACAAATCATGTCAATGCATGTTCTCCTTTACTTTGCAGGACAGTTTTAGGTGTGTTTGAGAGAAATAAAATGTCATGTTTATATTTTTTTTCCTTAACAGATCTTTTATCAGATATGAAATTAGGTCGCAATTTAGCCAAAACGTTCTTGGATTATTACAAATTGACATCATTAATCACACCTAAGCCCACTGCAAGCATTAATATGCAACAGGTAATATACAATACAGTCGAAGCATAACTTAACATTTAGCTTGTTTTAAGCTGACTTCGGGCTAGTTTATTCTACTTTCAAAACCACCATACATGTAAGTCAAGTAGAGTAATCTGCTTATATATGTCTCCTACAAGGATTAGTAAATTCTACAGGGAATGAATTGAAATTATTGACAAGAATCCTCACTTTAAAAATTACGAGTTCCCTGTATAGAATGAACACTATAAGTGGCCATTAGTTCCCTGTATAGAATGAACACTATAAGTGGCCATTGGTTCTCTGTATAGAACGAACACTATAAGTGGCCATTAGTTCCCTGTATAGAACGAACACTATAAGTGGCCATTAGTTCCCTGTATAGAATGAACACTACAAGTGGCCATTAGTTCCCTGTATAGAATGAACACTACAAGTGGCCATTAGTTCCCTGTATAGAATGAACACTATAAGTGGCCATTAGTTCCCTGTATAGAACGAACACTATAAGTGGCCATTAGTTCCCTGTATAGAATGAAAACTACAAGTGGCCATTTGTTCCCTGTATAGAATGAACACTACAAGTGGCCATTAGTTCCCTGTATAGAATGAACACTACAAGTGGTCATTAGTTCCCTGTATAGAATGAACACTATAAGTGGCAATTAGTTCCCTGTATATAATGAACACTACAAGTGGCCATTAGTTCCCTGTATAGAACGAACACTATAAGTGGCCATTAGTTCCCTGTATAGAATGAACACTATAAGTGGCCATTAGTTCCCTGTATAGAACGAACACTATAAGTGGCCATTAGTTCCCTGTATAGAATGAACACTATAGGTGGCCATTAGTTCCCTGTATAGAACGAACACTATAAGTGGCCATTAGTTCCCTGTATAGAAGGAACATTATAAGTGGCCATTAGTTCCCTGTATAGAATGAACACTCTAAGTGGCCATTAGTTCCCTGTATAGAATGAACACTACAAATGGCCATTGGTTCC